TAATCTGATCTTGTACGAAAATCTATTCTTAGGCGAAGGGCTACCTCCCAACCTGATTGACAGCGGAAAGTGGTCACTGCCTGCAGTATCAGCAAGGCATGCAAACGAGCACATAGGTGCAAGAGTGGCCGAGGCAATGGCGAGGTCTATGATCGATCGAGAAGAGCCCGGAGGCGTGAGGAGAGTAGGACTTTTATCGTTAAGCACGATAGCGTCCGAGCTTTCTACCAGGCCCGCCAGAGTCGTGCCCACCGCGTCAGTTCTGTCGCATCCCCAGGAGGCGTGATGCGCATTTAAGTCGCCGACAATGATGACGTTTTTAAACGATTTGAAGTAGTCAAACAGAGAAGATAAGATTCGAAGAGGAGTAGTGTGGCCGGGATGTCGATATATGTTGAGTAAGATAATCGGCTCGCCTAGGCATTCTATTTTTATTCCTAATATTTCTAAAGAGCTGTGTAAGTTAAGGTCGTCGTTCACCTGTGTAGCCTTAAGAGAATTTTTAACGATGATGCAGATGCCGCTCTCGCCGTGAGCGCGCCTGTCCCTTCTTAGAATTTGGCATCCTTTTAGATTTACTGCACAGAGAGGGTTTAATAGAGTTTCTTGAATGCATAAAACATCAAAAGTACTAGCAAAATTTTGAATTTCATGTAGTTTGCCCCTAAGACCGCGGCAATTCCAGGAGAGAATTTGAATCTGATGACGGGCTGAGTTCGTCCTGGTAGGAAGGGAAGGGGAGGGAGGGATGGAAGAGGGCGACAGCGGTGTCGTAGGGGAAGGGGTAGAGATAGGGGTGGGGGTGGACGTATCGTGACGGGGGGAGAAGGAAGGAAGGGGAGAGGAAGGGGGGTAGGGGGTGAGGAGAGTGGGCGAGGGAGTTAGGGATAGGGGTAGTGAGTCGTCCTTTCCGACGACGGGTAACCTTGCGGGGAGGCAGAGCGAAAAACCTGCTGATGCGAAGGCGAAAGACTGCTGGAATTGAGAAGTTCCAAGATTTGCTTAATTTTGTTAAATGCAGGAGATATTAACCTGATGAGAGATACAATCTGTTGAAGGATGGATGAAACGTCGGATACGCCATTAAACCCGAGTGCATTTAGAATTTCGGCGACAACCCCAAAACCGGTGTTAGCATTACCTGCGTCGAGAGAAGGAGTGCCGTGGAAGTCAGCATAGTCAGGCGTGAAAGCCTGCGAGAAGGCCGTTCCGTTGCCCGAAAAAGAAGGTGTTCGGCCGTTTGAGGACGTCATAAATTCTTGACCTATCCTTTCTGGGCGCGGAGGGGGCCGCTTTGCAAAGTTGCGATCACCAGACGAAGAAGAGTGCGAGGGGCTATTATTTTGAGCTTGTTGCCGACGTGGGGCGCCTGCCACTATTTGCGCATAAGACACGCCGCTATCTGGGGGAAAGTCGGATGAGTGGTTATTCAAGACGTCAAACCTGTTATGCGAGGCGAACGGACTACATGGAAACGACGCCGAGTTAGACGAAAGGCCAGTGCTGATACCTGTTGAGCTGGAGCTAGCGACTCTTTTCTTCGCTTCAATTAAGGGGATGTTGTGCTCTGCGGCCATCGTGAGCATTCTTTTTTGATTAAGCAGTATCGGGCAGGTAGGAGACGTGGGGAGATGCTCACCTGTACAATTTATGCATCTTGGCATGCTGTTTTTAAGTGGGCATACTGATCCTTCGGAGTGCGGAGGCTTACCGCAATAGAGGCATCTGGGCGTGCTACGGCAGGATGCGCTGACGTGACCCGCTCTGAAGCATGAGTAACAAATCCGGGCCCTCGGAACATGAGGGGCGCACCTCATGCCGCGACCAGAATAAGTTCACGTGAGATGGCAGTACTTGACCTGAAAATTTTATGCAAATTGTACGAGAGGGTACATAGGTAGGTTTGCCATCGACCATAACCTTTCTGTTAAGTCGATGCACATCGATGATCTTATTGCTTGCGCTGAGAGAACTTTTAATTTCCTCTGTAGAGAAATCTTGAGGAACATCTTTAATCACGCCTGAGCGTGAGATTCTATAATTCGGTATGGTTGCTTTGCAGTTGATAGAGATAAGCAAAGGGTTGGTGACTAACTTATTGGCAGCGGAAGCAGTTTTACAGTATACCAGGATCTTACCGTTGCCGAGTTTTTTCATTTCCAGTATGTCTGCCGCCGGCATGACTCTTCCCACCTGCGCGAACATCTTCATCGGATGAGGCGGGCTACCCCGTTGTCGACGAGTGCATATATATGGACCGCGAAGGGCGGATTATCTTGATTGGAATAAGCGTTCGGCTTCTCTTCGGTTCTACGAGATTTCGCAGTCTCGTGACGAGGCGGATTCTGACCACTCGCTGAGCGTTGTGATGCAGAGGTATATGCTGAAGTTTCAAAATCCGCGTCTGACGGCAAAGCTGCCATGTTTCCTTCTGATTCAAAATGAAAACGCTTGTTACCTTTTTTGACAGCGGCATAAGTATCTTTAGGCAACGGTGTCGAAGAAAGGGTCTCCACGTCCATGACCTCCTGACGGGCGGCAGCCGGGGTCGTGTTCACAAGATGTGAGTTGCTACGTAGCGATGAATTCTGCTCTGTGCTTAGTTGCGTTCCACCAGCCGTCGTGTTCGAACTTCCGCCTGCATCCACGTGAGGAGAGGGGGATAGGGGGGTTGAGGAGAACTGGGAATTGGGGGAGAAAACGAGTGCCAAGGACGAGTCCTGGTCCTGCGATGGGCCCAATCGCCCCTCAAAGCGCGAAAAACTGTCTAGCGAAACCGAAATAGTCTGTTGCGAGGGGGCCGCGGAATAGTCCGGACCGTAGTCCCCTCCCCCCTCGCCTGTGCACGAGGCCGAAGCCTCGGACATTGCCCTTTTCCGTAGACGCGAAGGGTTTTAAGTAATTCGCGTGCCAGGAGAAACGGGGCTTGCGCCCTGATTTCGAATGCTCAAAAAGAGCCCGACTCGATTGCTAACACTCGCGGAAACACTTTCGATTATACGGGAGCTAACCAAAACACATCCGTACAGTCCCGAGCGCCACACGCGAATCGCAAAATGTCTGATTCAGCAACTTCAGCGGTACATTTGGCCTTCGATAAATTGGATGGTCGAGAAAGCTATAATAACTGGAAATTCGGTATGAAAATGGCTTTAGTTCATGAAAATTTATGAGCAACTGTTGAAGGATATGCTGAAGAAAATTTGACTTCTGCGGCTGAAAAGAAACGGAAAGACCAAAAGGCTTTGGCCAAAATATGTTTAATGGTCAAATCTTGTGCTTATGCATATGTTAGATCAGCGGAAAATGCAAGAGAAGCATGGTTGAACTTACAAAAGGCTTACGAAGATAAGGGATTATCGAGAAGATTGACTCTATTACGTACACTCGCTGGAATCAAGCTGCAGACTTTCAAGAACATGGAATCATATGTAAATGAAA